GCACAAGGAAGTTTTTCTGAAGCTCCTTTTCAGAATTGTACATCTCAAAAAACGCAGAAGGAACAGACATTACCACAGCCATTTCCACTAGGGCAGAAGTTTTGTCTGGCAATGATGGCTTAAGCTGAGCAGCAAGAGCGGGTGTCAAAGGGACTGAAGGTGCAATCTGAGCTGAAGTCGGCTGAACTGAAAGGCAGTGTCGATTCAAGTCGTAGTAGTACTTCTGCATTTCAATAGTCTGTAACGAAAAAAAAGGGTAAGTAGTTGTTTTAGGCATTTTGTCGTTTACGTTACCATTTGCTTTAGAGAAATGTAATTAATACCATCACTAATCCACTCTTTTTCAGCAAGACAATTATCAGAAAGGCTATGCGCAGTTTCAAGATGAGTTTTGATGTGCTGGCATAATAATTCAACGTCGTGCTCATCCTGTTTAAAGTTAAAAGTCAAAAATTGAGAACTTTTACTTTTTGCATGTGGAAGAAGACACCGAAGATCTGAGTGGACAGGTTTAAAACAGCAAAGACCTGCATAATGTCTCCGGTGTAGTGAATCAGTCAACATTTTCATCTCTTGAAGATCATGATCTGAGATAGTTGACGAAGTGGATGAAACGTCAGGCAGTGTTGGTTCAAGCAGTTGTTTGATCAGTTTCCGAGTTTCGTCAGGCTAAAATAAGTATAAAGTTAGTAGATAAAACATAAATTAATATAATTTAAACACTTACTACTGCACTCAATTTAATCGTCACACCAGACTTATCAGTAAACTCCGTATTAAATTTGCCGTAGTTTCCAGTAATTTCATGCCCACCACTAAGATGATGTTTCAGCCCATCATGCAGCCGATATCCACCGTCACAAAACAATACGCTGACATTATGCTGCTTTTGGTGAGGTAACCTGCATTTAAAAGTACCATCAACAGTGCCCGGGGTAAAGAAACAAAACACCCAAGCATGTTCTTCTAAAATTCCGGGAAACTCAGGAAACAGTCGAGTTGACGTCTGATTGTCATTTAGAGGAGATGATGAAGACTGAGACGATGCAATTGCAGAGGAGCATCGAAGAACGGCGATGATGTGACATAGCGCTTTGGGTGAGTTATCGAAAGCCCACAATAAAAACGCCAGTCGACTTCGTACTTTATCATCCTAAAAATACAAAACAAAAGTTATTATTTAAACTAAAAAATATTTTTCAATCAACTTACAACTTTATACTGCTCTCTAATTTGCGCAAGAGTAAGTCTACTTCTGATTTCTTCAATGTCAACGTTATGAGCATTCTTCATATGCTTGTGCATGTTTGCAAGAATTCCGTTTTTGTCTCTCATAAATGGTGTCAAAACAAAACTCAACTTTGTTGTTTTGTGATCATTAGACATGCATGTGAAAGAATAATTGTCTCCGACTTCTAAATAACTTAAAGTTATTTGGTTTTGAACTGTCAGCTGCATGTTGAGGTTCATGTTCTGTTCAACAGTTTCGATAGAAGCGTCAAAATGTTTGTAAAAGAAAGATCTTGGGTCCTGAAAAATTATAATTAAAAACCAAATCAATAAAAAAATATTTCAGCAATCATTATCATGTTACACACCTCTTTAGCCAGATCATGCAATGCAGACGAATAAAAATCTCTGGTTTTAAAGCCAGTTAGACTTAAACTTTTGCTCACTTTTTCAAAAATCTTCTCCTCTTTACACTTCTCATCTTGAAGTTTACACACAGCGTCGTAAACATTCTTCTGATCATCATTCTGGTTTTTCACATTAGATTTTTTTCTATTTTCCTCACACACACACCTCACTACACTTTTTGGAATTTTCATCTTTTCAGCAACAGCGTCACAAACAGGATTTCCACGAGATCGTTTTATTTTCAAGGTATCTTGGTACGTCTTCATAACTTCTTTCTTAAACTCCTCCATCTTTGTAAGTTGATCTGGTTTAAGATGGTTTTTCGCTTTAAGTCGGCCTTTTCCATCAAAAAGCTCACTGTAGGGCGAATTTGCTGGAACAGTGCTGGTCGACGCCTAAAAATAATAAAAAGTAAATGTATTGCAAAAATATCATCTGGATTTAATTTACCTGGGGATCAAGACGAGCCTTTTCATGATCATAACAACTTTGAGTTGTACCACGAGACAATCCCAGCTCTCTGCTAATGTCACCAATGATCGTGTTTGTTTTGACTCCAGATGCTTCTTTTGCAATGTATAGATTGTATACCATTTGCCGGGCCTCAATCTTGTCCTCTTCGGATTTTGGGTTACAGTGTATCCATTTATCAGCCTTACTAGCAGCAGCATTTTTGCATCCTTTCCCCCAGGTAACACCAAAACCTTTTTCTCCATTGTTGGCAGTAGGAGCAGGGTTGGTGGTTTGTTTCTATTTAATAAAACAGTTTAAATTAGTAAATGTTAATTAAACAAAAAATTAAAAAATTAATTAAATTTTGTTTATCTTTTTTTACTTATGCATATTGTTACTGCATTGTGCTAAATTATCTAACACTTTTAAATTGATATTTAGTACTAAGCAAATTTTGTTAAACACTTTGTGTATTTTTCTTTCTCTCATATTTAAATAATAAAACTTCATTGTCAGCTTTCTGTATTGGGTGAAACAGCAAAACAAAAATAGACTTAGCAAACTAGTAACTCAATAAAAAATCATAGATCTGGACATGTTTTAACATTTTCACGCAAATCGCCACTTCAAAGGACTTTTCTAATTGACTACAATAAAATATAAACTGAAAACATATCAAAGTTTTAGCAAAAAAACGCAGGCATTTGCTTTTACTTAAACTACTAAATCTTTTTTAATTTGCATTGCAATTATTTTTACAAAATATCTTTTTTATAAACCAATATCTTATTAAGTCTACATTTTGGTTAGTCATCTCCAAAATTTTTTGAGTTTATCTCAAAGGATTGTTTCATCGTGCTACTTTTTATCAAATATCATGACATCAGTACAACTGACAAACTGAACAGGTTTGATGAGAAAGATTGCAACCGGTAGTTTCTTAGATAAAGACGACATGACAGTTTTTATGCTAATTGAAAAACAAGCATCACTTCCACAAATACAATTGTGAATTTATTCAATTATTCATTTATTTTAGCTAATCTTTTTTTAACACTATGGTAAATTATGTCAACTAGCTGAGAGCACAACAACAATTCACTTAAATTTGTGTTTTAATTTGCACATTTATGCTCAACTTTACACAAATATTAAACTTTTTACAATAAAACAAAATAACATTTAAAAACAAACGATTTTAGTACAAAAGGTACCATAAGCATCAGACAAAAATATAAGTTATGCAAAGAAACAGCCTCGATCATCTACTGTCCTATACATCACTGAATGTTTGTTTCACTGTGCTCAATGTTTTGATAATTGCTTGTGCTAGTCAACTTTATGCTTTTCGACAGTACTCAACATTTGCTAGTTACTTCCGTTTTATTTTTTGTTTTATAATGGTATCAATAAGCAGATTAAAAAAAAGTCTAAACGTTTTAAAAAGTTTTTACATTACTTTTAGCTATGCCCATTAAAGTTAGCACAGACACTTTTAAGCACTTTTAACAAGCAGCAGTAATGCTGACAGCATGCAAAACTTTTTTAAAGTACTTTAAAAATAAAAATTAGTTTTAGTAAATGGTATTTAAATCAAAAAAATTGTATGCGTTTATTTAAAAATAAAACAAAAAACGATTTTATTGACAAAAAAATTAAAAATGAGTTAAATAAACGCATACAAATTCCGATTTAAATATCATTTACTAAAACTAACTTTTACAATATTACTGTTGTTTGTTAAAAGTGATAAAAAGTGTTTGTGCTAACTTTAATGGTCATAGCTAAATGTAATGTAAAAACCTTTTAAAATGCATTGTTTTTACAGATTAATATGATATAAACAGTTTAGTTTGTCACAAACTGATCTAAACCTAAATTTAGTAAACTAGAACACTAGAAAAATAATAAAAACATACCTTGAAAAAGTTCATGATGAGGCTGACGTAAGTAAAAAATCGGGAAAACTGCAAAAGTCGGAGAAAATGGAAGAGAGACGTTGATGATCTAGTCGCGAGAAGTGTCCACGCTGGAATGATAGCTCGAGCATTTCCTGCCGCTACCGCGCAGACCCAAGCATGACCCCTGTGGAGAAAAACTTGTTGCCTGCCTTAGAATTATCTTCTCACCGTCTCTAAGAGAAACAAGAGGGAACACTTAATTTTCATGTTCTCATTTGTTTTACTATTTTTAAGCTAACATGTTGTAAAAAGTTAATTTTTTATTATTTTTTAAATACAATGTAAATTTTTTAAAATATAAAAATATAAAAATTAATAATTTAAAAAATTTTGTAGTACAAGAACCAAGCATTTTAATTGATTAAATGTGTTTTTTGCAACTTTTTTGCTTAAGATTTTGAATGAAAAAATGCATGAAAACTTGAAAAACATGAAAAAAAGTTTAACTTTAAAATGAATTTAAAAAACAAGTAAAGCTAAATCAGCAAATCGAAGACGAACAAAATATAGATTTAGTTGTTGCCTTTCCTTTGGCATTTCTGATCATGCCATGCCAGCTTCCATCTTACCGGAAAGTGTACCGTTCGGTGTAAAGATATTAGTAAAAAATGTAATTGACTAGTAAATGAAACTAAAAATTCAAAAAAAAATTTCAATGTGCGTGCAGTCCCCCCGTTAAGGAAAATGCCTTTTTAAATAATTAGCAGAGAAAAGCAACATGACTCTAAAATACAAGCAAAACTAGCGTTTCTTACAGCAGTGCTTTTTTCTTTTGCAAAGTTCGTTACAAACTGTTCGTCTAAAACAAGTTGATTTTATTGTACATAATAAATAAATAGATTGACAAACTAATTTGCCAGTGTGAACAAGATGATCACTCAAAAGAGGAATAATAAATAATAAATGAAAATAGGTCAACCGATGAAAGAAGACGAGCGTTTACTGAGTTTAGTAGCCGCCGCTTCCGCCCAGACCACCACCGAAACCGCCACGACCACCACCAAATCCACCACCGAGACCACCTCCGAGGCCTCCACCGAGGCCTCCACTGAGGCCTCCTCCAAGACCGTTTCCACCGAAACCACCTCCAAGATTGCCGAGGCCAGCTAAAATGAGAAAAGGTTTTTAGTATGAATTGTTAGTAAAGTTGCATATTTTTTCTTACATCCGCCCCCCAAACCGCTCAGGCCACCAGCTCCGCCGCCAATGGATCCACCCTGAACCTGTCGGGCGACGATGGTTTGAACGTCCTCTTGAACGGGCTGCACCTGCTGGGTAATGATGCGGCGGGGCCTAAATAATTATAAAAATTCGTTAATTAGTTAATTGTTCTTAATTAGTGTTAATTACAGAAAACATACACAATTTGTTCAATCACGCGCTGTTCGATTGGCTTGATAACGGTGTGCACTCGGACCTATTTTACAGTAGGAAAAAGTTAGTTAATAATGCGCAAAGCAGTTGCTTTCCAAAAACACATACATGAGGCTCATCGGTGCTCTGAGTCTGACGGAAGCTACCTGGCTGCGACTGGTGGTGGTGCTGGATCTGGACCGGGGCAGAGTTGGAGCGGAAGTGAAGCACAACGGGGCTTGACTGGCTGTCCACAAAGACATTGGTGGGCTGAGAGTATCCTTGGCTGTTATTTGAGAAAATTGAAACGTTAAAGGTTAACTAGTGTCGGATTTAAACCTGCTTCAGCTCTTACCTTGGGGTGTCGACAAAGTTGACTCGCTGGCTGGTGCGGACTGCCAGAGTACCGGACTGGCCACCGCCCAGACCACCGCCCAGACCACCACCCAGACCGCCACCAAAACCACCTCCTAGGCCACCACCACCTTCAAAAAAGTGTTCAGTTGAACTGCTGAGCCCAAACGTGTAAGTCAACACTTACCGAATCCACCACCCATACCGCCTCCATAACCATAGGCGTTGACGGTAACGGCAAAGAGGGCCGAAAGAAGGGCAATCTAAAAGGGCACAGATTTTGGGTTAGTTGAAACACGATGATGCTTTGATGAGAAACAAAGTTGTCTTCTGTATAAGTTCACTCAATGTTTACCTTGTACATTTTGAAGTGGTTTGTTGTGGAGTGTTTGCTTGAAGTAGCTGAGAAGATGATTTGTTGGAGTGCTGATGATCTACTAGTGCCATGAGCATTGCCTTATATACTCGAAAGGATTCTCACTGAAAGAAATCAGCGGCATCCCATTTTCTCCCTGTGCGCGATGGTTTAGAGCAGAACACTCCTGGGCAGCTCTCAAGTTCACAGCATCAACACCTTCTCCTCCTCCTCCTTCTGCTGACTACTACTGTCCAGTGGAGTCTCAGGCGAAGGTCACTCGTCAACTGCTGTTCACCTGCCCCCCCACACACACATACACTATCTATCACAGGCTTTGCCATTAGGGGCAGCCCGTTGACAAAGCCTTACTGATGCCTTACTCTTCTGTCAACAACGGAGAAACTGTAACGTATCTTTTCTGTTTTTAAATTAGTTTAAATCAGTTTGACAGGTGATGATGCATAGACTCTGTCCATCTCTGCGTGCCCAACTCCTCTCGCCTCTCAACAGATGTGTCACCACCATTCAATCTATCGACATAAAACACATACACACGTTCAGACTACCATTACGGCGATGCCCGCTCAAAAACCTTGCCATATTTTTTGTTGTGTTTTTTTGTTTTCCCATTTAGCATCTAATGAAGACAGACCTGATAATTATGCAACAACAGCCATTGCTGCTCTTGTTGCTTACCTAGGTGCCTGCAAAAGTAATGCGCCAGAGAAGGAGTATAACTGGATCATTGTATCGTCATAGAGAGTCTGTGTGCGATGTTCAGAGTGGCTCAATTGCATCGATAGTACTGCTCGATAAGTGTGTACAGTTGCAGGCCAAGTCAGTAAGGTCAGTGGATGGCAAAACGTACTGCACCACCTGCATCCCCTGTTGATGTCGCATTTATCAGCACTTGAAATCACCACCTTTTCTAATCTAAGTGTGACAGAGTTTTGAATATTGTTGAGAAAAAAAGTAAAAACAGCAGCAGTATTGATGCTGTGATTGCTATAATCAGCATGACTGGCGCGTTCTCAACCTGTCCTGGGCTACTAAAACATGAACATCACTTTGCCCACCAGGGTGGCTCCAATGACTGAGTTTTCTCTAATTGTCTCATTAATCCCTTCACTAGTGATCTACTAGCTAAGGACCACTTGATAAATGTCAAAATATGTAAACTAGCCCACTTGTTGTGGTGGCATACAAATATGAAAATTACCCTAATTACAAGTATTTGGAAAATTTTGAACCTTTACTTTGCATAATCAATTATTCTTGCTTTAAAGCTTGTTTTAAAATTTTTTAGTAATTGGAAAAAATGGTTTTAATAAAACTTGCAACCGGATAAAATAAAATTTTGTAGTTTAAAAGTAACACTTGTAACCTATTTTTCCTCAACTATAGTAATAAAAAGAGTCACTGTGTTAAAAATTGCAACAATAAACCACAGATAAGAGGTTGAGAACAGATCGACCTTTTAATGGAAATTAACTTTTACTCATCTTTATCTAACTTTGTGTCAAAATTACGTTAAATTTTACAACTGGAATACTTTAATAATAATATTAATGCAAAACAAAAAGTTTTTAATTTTGTTTTGTAAAAAGTTTTCAAGTAACATGGTACATTTCCATTACCAGTTCAGGGATATGTTTGCAGTCAAAATCGCTAAAAAGGATGCGCTCATTTTCTTTCACTAATGGCAAATCTTTTAGAATGCGCATTAGTTTAGCGTATTTTTGTTTAGCATCATTGATATTTTTAAACTTGTGCTCCAGGTAGCGAATAAGCAAAAAAGAATAGTAGTTGTGATAGTATTTTATAAATTCTGGACACGAAGTCTCTTCATGGTAAAAGAACAACAGCTGAGCCGACAACAAATCTCTAATTGTTGTGTCTTTGCTCATTTCAATTGACAATGAGTTCCAAAATTTGGTATTAACGTCAGATATTTCTAAGTTTTTTGAAATTTTGCCTCCATTTGAAATGTCGTATATGACAAAAATTGCATGATCTGCGTCGTTGTTCTGAAACACAAAAAAACGTTGGTAAAATGTGTTTTAACATTTAGAAAGAATCACTATACCTCAAACATTGGATACCCATTTTTTTCGGGGTCGTGAAGAAATCCAAAGTGAACAGCGGTGCCTGACCAAATAAAATATTTTAATAATGCCCATTGATCTTCCTTAGAAAGTTTTTTAAAAACTTCAAAGTTCTTGCAAAACTTGATTGTCCACTTAAAGTAGATTTCAGGAATTTTAAAAATCTCAACCATATGCGATGTGGGCCTGATAATTGGCACTGAAAACTCATCACCAAACACTTTGCGTGCCTCTTTTACCAGTTCGATTTGCTGTAACTCAAAGGCAGAGAGATCAGTTGCAAAACGCTTTTTGCGCTGTGTGATTGCCGAGTTTGGCTTGTCTTCAGGGTAGTTATCACCAAACTGAGAGATGTGCTTTTGTATTTCTAAACAAATAAACTTTTCAGTTGAACTGGGTTTACTGGTAGTGTTTTCAGTGTTTTTAGTGGGATTCGTTCGATGAATCGACATTCCCGCCTCCAGACATTTATTATATCGACAAAAGGTACAACAAGCTCGTGTTATGTAGGACACTGGACAGCTTTCATGATGACGGCATTTCAGTTTCTACAAATCGGAAAGTTTTATTTATATATACAGACATTTGAATAATTAAGTTTATTTACCTCCACAACCTTAGAGTTGCGATGAAAGAATATTTTGCACGATTTACAAGACAAACAATTGTAATT